CCCCAAAACCCCAAAACCCCAAAACCCCAAAACCCCAAATTATAATTCTAAAAGTGAACCTATAAATTAATTTATCTAAATAGGGAAATGAGTGATGACCTGAAACAGATTTTGAGGGACAGTGGAGTCCAGGGTCTGAAGGACAAGATTATTGAGAAGAAGAGACAGCAGCTTAATAAGAGGAAGATTAAGGATAAGGAACGCTATTCAGGAGGTGTTAAGGAAATGAAGGAGGAGGTTAAGAGTGTGTAGTTGGAAATGGAGGTTTAGGATTTTTAGGGATGGATAAGAGTAGAGATTAATTTTAATGATTTTTGTGTTTTAGAGTGCAGATAGGGGGGTTTAGACTAAGAATTTGGTGCTGGAATCAAAATTTTGATATAATATTGGTATTTTAATTTGATTGAAAATTTTTGAGAAAGTTTGCATAATGCAATTTTGCTAAAAATTTCCATAAAATTTGTGGAAATATTTAATTTTATTTAGAAAAGTTTAAGAGTGCTAGTCAAATTAGAGATCAATATATCCTGGGTGATTTAAGCTTCTATTCCTCCCAAAAGAAGTCATCTGAAGTAATGATCGGGTCTTCCAGTAACGAAAAAGAGATGTCTATCCGAGAACTACAGTTTCAGAACAAGCTAGCTGAGTTCAACTAAATTCAGAAACATGGAAGATGATGAAATAGAAAAGATTGAGAGAAAATAAGAGATTCAATTACTTCAGAGAAGTCCTCGTTGATGACACAAATAAAGAAGTTCACAATGGCTTATCAAAATACAACAGAACTGAAAATATTTCAGTTGAGAGGATCGCCAGGACCTCAAGTCCTTTTAAAAGGAAAAGTTCAAAGACTTCAGTTCCAAAATGTGCTAAGAGGCCTTCTAAGAAAGTGAAATTGAAGAAGAATATTAAGAGTCAAAGGACTTCTTACTTTGACTTTGGAACTAGATGCGGATATATGTGTGACAAAATAGATAATTTTAAATGGAATGATATTACTAATAAGCAACTAGCTGAGAAAGTCAGGAAAAGTATCCAAGAAGTGGATAAAGTTTTAATGTTCAATAATTTTGCAAAAATTCAAAGGAGCCATTCAACTAATTCAAAAGTGGGCAAGACAACTAGTTTGCTGAGACATGAAGAGAATTTTAGAACTCCAAGCCCAAAGGGATCATTTCAGAAATTTCGAGAACTTCTAAAATCAAATAATTTAGTTTCAAGTCCTCAAAAGAATTTTAGCCCTAATAAAATTGCTAAGGAGAAGATTACAGATCCATTGACTGGCTCCAAGCTGTCAACCTGGACGAAATGAGATACTGAAATGAAGGAGGATATCTTAAGACCTAAGATGAGCCTTTCACCTAACATGAGATACAACAGATCAGAGACAAATTATGCTCTCTCACCATGCAATCCAGTTGTTATTACAGATGAATTGAAATTTTCGAACTCAGATTCATATCAAGAAGAGAAGGGATCTTCAGGTGAAGATCTTCTAATAAAGGTATCATCAAGAGAGGAATCTCAAAAATCAGAGAAGAATTTATCTGGAAAACTAGAGAGTATTGCTGAAGACTCGTTATGAGAGTACCAAGAGGCTCAGACTCCACAAGAAAAGGACTCACCTCAAATAAAAACAGATCCAATATTATTCTCGGTACAAATGAATGAGGACCAAATTAAAGATGGAGGCAAATTGGAAAGTCTAAGGGATGATGAAACTAAGTTCATAATCCCAAAGCTTGGCTTGTTGACCAATAACTTACCACTAGACTCCATATCAGAGGATATCAACAGCCCCTATTTTGCTAGCTCTCCTAGTAATATGAACTCTTGAGGGATAGCTGTGAATAATTCGAATCTTGAAAAAGTGGGGAATCTCATCGTAGAGCCTAAGTTTAGCTCTACTCTTGATATGAATGAAGGTGACACGAGTGGAGATAGGAATTTACAAAGACACGGCACCTTTCAGACGGGAACATCAGTCAGTGAAAATTATATAGAAAATGCCAATCTCGATACATTAGAGTGAAAACTCGAAAAAATTATGAAGAAAAGGAGTAAAAGGATTGAGGTCTTTGAGTCATACCTTAGTCAATGGCAAAAAGAGAAATTCAACACTATTGTTAGCTCTAAAGACCAGAAGAGCACTCGGAATCCTGACATAGAAATTAAAGCAACTCCTAAAAAGATAAAAACTAAATCAAGAGCAAGGAATACTGGTCTAAAAGCTTCAAAGACTCCTACTTATCCTTCAAGGAAGAAGGCACCGAACTATTGGTTAAGCGGATCAAAGAAAAAGATGGAGGGTAAGATCCTGAGCCCAGTTCTCAGATCAACTAGTCGAAATACCAAGCGTAAATAATAAAATTATAATTTGGTTTCACTAATTTTTGGGTGAAAGATGAACTCAAAGTCGATTAATTGCAATCTTTTATATATTTAAGTTTCCAGCAAGAAGATATGGAAGGTTTTATTAGAAATAATTGCTAAGATTGGATTTAGAAGCCTCAAAATATTATACTTAACAATAAAAACCAGTAAAACACAAATGAATTTAACATATTTGTAATGTTTACTCTTCTTAAGATCATATAAACCAATTTATGAGTAGTTGTTAAGTATTTGAGACCACACTTAAATACCCACTTTATCTCATAGATTCTCTCATAGATCTCTAGCTCTCTTGAAAGCTAAAATCTCGATTAACCAGCTATCTATTCAACTTGTAGTGTCTGATATATTTGCCATAAAAGTGGGCATCAATACCTCCAAGAGCGGTGAATTTTCTAGGTGTTTTACAGCAACATTTATTGCTGAATTTCTCAATAAGGTATTAATAAAATGGGGTTTTGGGGTTTTGGGGTTTTGGGGTTTTGGGG